AAGGAAAACATTTTTTTGGAAAAACTTTATTTCTCAATGTAATTATTACCTTGATACATTTGATTCAATGTTTTTATGATATTAATCTCTTTTCAATTTTATCCATAAAACTTAACTTTACTCTCATCTATAACATTAAAAACTTAATTTTAATCTCATCCATAACATTAAAAATCTCTTTTTAATCTCAATGCAACATGTGTGACCCTATAAAAGGTATTTATTTCATCATCAAGCAATCACTTCATCATTTAATATAAATTTTCCTATAAACCATTTATTTGTAGAAATAAAAAATAATTAAGAAGTTTCAAATGTGGCAACTAGAGGAATAATTTTATTGTCACAATTACGAAAGGAAAAGAATTTGCATCGAATGATGTGATTGTTGAAATGTTTATTTTGCGGGTATAGGTATGTCTACATATATTTTATGGATGAGATTAAAAAGTTGGAAAAACATTGAACTGAGTATCCAGATGACTATTTTGAGAAATAAACTTGATTTTTTCCAAAAGTGGTTTTTTTTATTTTTGCACGGAATTCTCGAAAAATCCTCGTGTCTACTTTTACAAGTTAAATTTCGCGAAAAGTATATAAAGTAAATATAAAGTAAAATATAAAGTATATATAAATATGAATATAAAAACAATGTAAATATGTATATATTCAGTTTTAACTATTGTTTTAGTTGAGTATCTAATCCTAATTATTGCAAGAAGTAAACAATTAATAATAAAAAGAATTATAACTTATAACTTATAACTTTGAAAGTATATTAAAAATATAAAGCTTTTTATTAAATTGTATCGGGTAGTCAAATATTCCTGACTAATAATTTACAATGTATTACGTGTGTATAATATATACATTATGTAGAATTATAATAGTGTCATTATTTTTTTCTATTACAAGTATGTAGATAATATATATGTAGTAATGGAAATCATCATGATTTGCAAGATAAAGTTTTTATGTTGCAATGTATTAATTTCTATTTAAATGTAATAATGAATTGAAACCTTTGACAGTGCAATAAAATGAAGAATTCGGAATAAACAATTTATGACAAAAATGACAATCTCTTTATTTTCAAAATACATTTACTGTCTAACTACTATAAAATATTAATACATTAAACTGTGTCATGGATATTAAAATAAATAAAATACAGATGTAAAATTTATAGTAAAATTGATATTTAATATTAATAAAATTTAATATTAATAAAATTGATATTTAAGCATGTCTAAGGCTTAAACAATACATTTATTTTAAATGTAGATAAGTTAGTATAAAATTGGAGATTTATATATTGAATTAGCTACATTTTTATTTACATTTAATCACAAAAATTCCATATAGCTTTAGGAAACAGGATTTTTGACACTATTGCAAGACAAATATCATTGATGATATGGTTTATGCCATTATATATGTCATGTTTTAATCATACTGCTCGAAAATATTTGAATAAAAATTAATCGATATAACAAAAAAATGAATTATTTCGCTGTATATTTCTTTGATTTAACTTAATAGATTTTCTATTTGAAAAATTTATTAATTTATTACTTAAAATATTATTTTTTACTATTACTATTATTATTTATTATTAAAAATTTATTAATATTAGAAAATTTCAATTTGTGATAATACTATTGATAGAAATAATTAATGAATTATTGCTACATTTAATAAAATTGAAATAAACTATTAATAAATTGACAATCTCTTAGATGCTGACAACAGGGAACATTTTCAATAATTTTCTTAAATAAATTATAAATGTTCTTATATAATCTTAAACAAAAAATATTTATATGTCCAAAAAGAG